GAATGATAGCTTTGCTGGATAAAGTAATCTTGGTTGTAGGTTCTTGGTATTCATCACTCCCTTCTGGCCTGCATAGTTTCTGTTGAGAAATCAGCTAATAATCTTATGGGTACTCTCTTGTAGGTAATCGACTTTCTTTCTCTTGCTGCTTTTAGGATTCTCTCTTTGTCTTTTGCTCTTGGTATTTTAATTATGATGTGTCTTGGTGTGGTCCTCTTTGGATTCCTTTTGTTTGGGGTTCTCTGTGCTTCCTGGACCTGTAAGTCTATTTCTTTCACCAGGTGGGGGAAGTTTTCTGTCATTATTTCTTCAAATAGGTTTTCAATATCTTGCTCTCTCTCATCTTCTGGCACCCCTATAATTCTGATGTTGGTACGCTTGAAGCTGTCCCAGAGGCTCCTTACACTATCTTCGTATTTTCGGATTCTTTTTTCATTTTGCTTTTCCGGTTGGGTGTTTTTTGCTTCTTCGTATTTCAAATCTTTGACTTGATTTTTGCAATCCTCTGGTCTGCTGTTGGGAGTCTGTATAATATTCTTTATTTCAGTCAGTGTATGCTTAATTTCTAGTTGGTCCTTTATCACAACATCGAGGGTCTCACTAGATTTCTTGAGGGTCTCACTACATTTATCGGTGGTTTCTAGAAAGTTCTTGAAGAACCTTAAAAGTGTGGTTTTGAACTCTATATCCAGTAGTTTGCTTTCCTCCATTTCTGTCATTTGTGTCCTGTTTCTTTGTCTCGGCATTTTTTATGCTTCGCTGTGTCGATAGAGTGGCTTTCTGTGCTAAGTGTCCTATAGGGCCCAGTGGCTCGGCCTCCCCAATTACCTGAGGTAGACACTCTTGCTGCACCCCCTTGTGGGCTTTGTGCACAGTCTTGTTGTAGTTAAGCCTTGATTGTTGTAGGTAACACTGGGAGGATTTGACCTCCAGGCCAATTTGCTGTGAGAATCTGCTGTGTCTACGGTGGGAGAACTTCTGTGCTGAAGACACCCTTATGGGGCAAGACTTGCTTCAGTGGGGCTTTGGTGCTCACTGAGTCTGCCCCCTGAGTGTGTCCCTTATGGGTCTGAGGGGTTATAATTGGATGGTCCCACTCTGACCACTGGGTACACTGGCTCTTGGATCTAAGGAGGTGCTAATCTAGCCTCTGCCTGAGGCTACCCAGCAGAAGCCAGCTGTAAAGCAATGCAAGTTGCCCTGGGGCCTTGGGGCAGCTGCAGTTTGTTAAGTTATTTTCAGATTACAAAGGGCCGGGCCTTTCATATGCAAAAGCCTCCACGAAAGGCTTGGGCGGGGCGGGTCCCAGGGGATCAACAGGGCAGGTGGAGCGAGCAGTATGGCTGCTCTCAGTCCTGCCCTCAGAGGCCCCAGCAATCGCTGCGAGTGCCTCCGAGAGAAAGCTGCCCTCGAGTTCCGACCGATGCCAGATAGTCCTGTTTCTCCCGTATGAGTCTGGGTCCCCAGAGACTCACCCGGAACTGGAGCTCAGAGCCTGAGACTCCCTCCCGATTGAAAAAGACAATCCTGTCCTCAGCCGCCAGCCCTCTCCACATGCACCTCCACACCTTTGTATTTTACTTCCGCACCGCAGCTCCTCTGAGTCTCGGTATGCTTTTCTCTTTCCTTCTAGTTGTAGAAATTCCACTCAGCCAGCCTTCCTGTGGTTCTGGATGATGTCCGTTATGTCTTTTAGTTGTATTTTTGAAGTGGTTGTGTGAGGCAGCAATCTCCAGTGTTTACCTATGCCGCCATCTTGGTTTATCTCCTTTTCTCAGAAATTCTTGGCGGGGAGTGGGAGAGACCTGGAAGTGAGGGCACCTGGGTCTGGTCCCCACCCCACAGAGCCGATAAAAAAGGACACAGATTTATTTGGGAGTGCGGAGATTACGAGAAATCATTTTCTTCTCTATGTTTCCATTTTCTATATTGTTAAATTTCTGATTGTGGTAAAATATACATAACATAAAACATACCATTTTAATGATGTATAAGTACAGTTTAATGGCATTACGCATATTTACATTGCTGTGCAACCATCACCACCATCATTTCCAGAACTATTTTATCTTCTCAAACTGAAACTCTATCCCCATTAAAGTAACTCCCCTTCCTCTCCCACCCCACCCCCCACCCCCGCCTCCCACCCCGGGCACCCACCATTCTGCTTTCTGTGTCTATGAGTTTGACATGCCTTGTTGCAGGCTCTAGGAACCTGTAAGTAGAATCATACAGTATTTTCCCTTTGTGACTGGCTTATTTCACTTAGCATAATATCCTAGAGCAGGGGTGGGGAACCTTTTTCCTGCCAAGGGCCATTTGGAAAATTATAACATCATTCGCTTATTATAATTCACTTACTATAAATTTGGTTGCTATGAAAAAAGTTCCTAGATTTATTGAATTTCGAGTCCTGCCTGCAGATGCCTTGGCAGGGCCGGACCAAATGATTTCATGGGCCTCATACAGTCCGCGGGCCAGAGGTTTCCCACCCCTATCCTAGAGGTCATCCCTGTGGTCGAATGTGCCCTAGCCAGGTGGCTCCGTTGGTTGAAGCATGTTCTGTGCACCAGAAGGTGGCAGGTTCCATTCCCGGTCAAGGCACATACCTGGTTTGTGGGTTTGATCCCTTCCTCTCTCCTTAAAAATAAAAAAATATGCTCAGGTAAGGATTAAAAAATATATGCATATTGAGAATGTGTCAGAATTTTCTTTCTTTTTGGGTTGAATAATATTCCAGTATGTATGTGTGTGTGTGTGGCATTTTGTCTATCCATTCATCCACTGATGAACACTTGTTTCTACTTTTTGGCTTATTGTGAACAACACTGCTATAAACATTGGTGTGCAAATATCTGTTTGAGTCTCTGCTTTCAGTTTTTTTGTATATGCTTAGAATACATAGAGCATAATTGTGGGATCATTGGTAAATCTATTTTTTGAGGAAGCAGTTAAAATTTTTTAAGCTTTTTAAAAAAGTGATCAAAGAGCCCTGGCTGGTTTAGCTCAGTGGGTAAAGCGTCGGCCTGCGGACTGAAGGGTCCTAGGTTTTATTCCAGTCAAGGGCACATGCCCAGGTTGCAGGCTCAATCCCCAGTGTGGGGTGTACAGGAGGCAGCTGATCAATGATTCTCTCTCATCATTGATGTTTCTATCTCTCTCTCCCTCTCCCTTCCTCTCTGAAATCAATACATATATATTTTTTAAAAAGTGATAAAAGACTGTTAAGAATAAAACACCACCTGGCTGGTGTGGCTCTGTGGTTGAGCGTCGACCTATGAACCAGGAGGTCACAGTTGGATTCCCAGTCAGAGCACATACCTGGGTTGCAGGCTTGATGCCTAGTAGGGGCTGTGCAGGAGGCAGCCGATCAATGAATCTCTCTCATCATTGATGTTTCTCTCTCTCTCTCTCTCTCTCTCTCTCTCTCTCCCTTCCTCTCTGAAATCAATAAAAATACATTTTTTTAAAAAAGAATCAAAACACCCATTTCAAAACTTTAAAAACAGAAAAATCATGTTTGTTCATTATGATTTTTAATAATGTCTACTCTTCTAGTGTTTTTATTTATTTTTAAAGACTAATTGAGAGAGAGCATCCATAACAATTTTCAGGTTTTATTTGGTTATTTATATGGATTTTTAAAAATAAAACATTTTTATTGTAATAAATACATATAACATAAAATTTACTGTCTTAACCATTTTTAAGTGTGCAATTCAGTGGTATTAAGCCCAGCCAGCATGGCTCAGTGGTTGAGCGTTGACCTATGAACCAGCAGGTCACTGTTCAATTCCCCATCAGGGCACATGCCCAGGTTGCAGGCTTGGTCCCCAGTGGGGGGCATGCAGGAGGCAGCCCATGAATGATTCTCTGACATCATTGCTGTTTCTATCTCTCTCTCTCCCTCTCCCTTCCCCTCTGAAATCAATAAAAAATATATATATAGTTTTAAAGCTCAGACTTTAAGGCTTATAATCTCGTGAAATTCCCGTCTCTTCAGGTTCCTGCATACCTCATGAGGCCCAGAACCACGAGCTGTTCATTTCCACTGACTCCATCCCCCTGTTGCACTTGGCGCTCCTCTGCCCCTTTCCTCCCAACCACCAGGGCAGAGCGACCTGAGTCAGGCTGCCCCGTGACCCCCTTTTGTAAGACACTAGCATTTCAGCATATTTTTGTAGCTTTTCACACTTAATGGTTGTCATTTTGCAAAACAAAATATTCACACCGGGTAAGAGTTGTATTGTGTTCCGGGAGCTTGCTAGACCAGGAATTTACATCTATGCTCCCCCCATCCCTCCTATGTACGTGGGCCGTGTGCCTGGGCACAACACCTCCCTTACTGGGGCTCACTTGTCATCTGTCAGTAAGTGAGTCAAACCACACAACCTGAAAGGACACCAGGAGCTAATGACACCATCCTGTCCGCACCCAGGCTCCTCCCACCCTCAGCCACGGGAGGAAGGAGCCAGGACGGCCAGTGTCCAGGGTCTTGGAGACGTGCCCAGCCTAAGCTTGGCATTGTTGCTACCACGCCTTACCTCACAGATATTTTCTAACCGAAACTGGGGCAAATGGTCTGAAAACATGGAGATGTAGAAGACATGCTCGTGAAAAGGCAGAAGTCTCGCTCCCTCAGGAGGGCGTGGGGGCCGGATGGCAGGCGCTCAGTGGGCAGGACAGGGCCAGGGCAGCCTGCAGAGAGCAGGCGGAGGGAGGCGCGTGGTGTTGGGGTGGAGGGGGTGGGAAATGGGCCTCTGGGTGCATGTTCTGGGGCCTGACTATGGGGTGACACTGAGTTCAACAGAGCCACTGCCCATTCTGGCCCCACCCCTCTTGCCAGGAACCGCCTCCCCAACGGCCGACCGCAGTGACCACATCCCCCCGGTTGCCTTGGAAACACGCTCAGGACAGGGGAGTTGGGGCACAGTTGCCCAGCAACAGGTGGTGCCTCCCTTCCGCCCTCATCTGAGGCCCTGCTCTGCGCCCTTCCACAGGCCAGGGAAGAGCTGCTCTGAAGGGAGAGGGGAGCCCAAGGACAAGACTGAGGTGAGGAGCACAGGAGGCCCCTGTAGGTGGGAGCCCCTGGGACCAGCCCCCACCACTTCCTCTCTGTAGGCCCAGCAAGCCCTGAGGGGCTGAGGAGACAGAGGGAAGACGCCCTTGGGGCCTTAGAGCTTTGTCTGAGGCACCTGGGACCTGGGAGGGGAAATGGGGTTCTGAGCAGGAGGGCCCGGCTGTGGGCCCAGTGGTGCATCCCCCACTTTGCCTCCTCTAGCCCTTCCCGGGGTCCCTCTGCTCCTTTCCCTGTCTGGGCCTGTTTCTCGGCCAGATTCCCAGCCCCCTGACCCCGGTCCCTCTACACAGTCTTGGCTGGGCCCTGGCTGCCGCTCTGGGCCTCTGGATTGTGCTTCCTGTCCTGACCCTGTCTCCCCAGATGCCTTGGACTCCAGAGCAGCCCCCTGGGCACATGGAAGGGCCCCCTGCGTCGGAGTCGGCCTCGTGGCCCCCGCTGCCCTGTGGGCCTTGCATCCCCATCATGCTGGCCCTGGCCCTGCTGGCCGCCCTCTTCCTCCTCACCACGGCTGTGCTGGCCGAGCGCCTGTTCCGCCGCTCTCTGCGACCAGGCCCCAGCCACCACCCGCCCACCCTGGTCTGGCGCCCCGGAGGAGAGCTGTGGATCGAGCCCACAGGCACCCCCCGGGAGCGCTCCGAGGACTGGTACGGCTCGGAGGTGCCCCTGCTGATGGACCAGGCCCCGGACCCTCCTGTCCCCGGGGGCACCTTGGAGGCCCGAGCAACAGCCCCGCCTGCCCCGCCTGCCCCTTCTACTCCACGCTCCCCTCCCAGCTTTTTTGTTCCCCAGATCCCACCCCAGGCCCCAGCCCCAAGTACCTTCTGGGGGCCCCAGGCCTGGGAAGGGAGGCCCCATGCCCCGGGCCTGGTGAGCTGGGCTGAGCCTGAACAGAGGCCAGAGCCCAGCATGAATTTGGGGAGCCCCCAGGCCCGAAGACAGCGGCCAGGGAGCCCTGATCCCGAGTGGGGCCTCCAGCCTCGGGTCACCCTGGAAGACATCTCAGCTTTCTGGAGGCGAGAGAGCCGCACCAGCGTGGGTTTCTGAACCCCCAGAGCCCGGAGGACTGGCCTCCCAGAGGCCTCTGAGCAAGGCCCGACCTCAGAGCTCCCGCCTGGGAGCCCAGCTGACACCTGAGGCCAGGGAAGGAGGCCAGGCTTTTCACACCGGATTTCAGTTCAGCTGGGTCTGGTCTGGGCAGGCTGGGTGTGGACACAGCCTGTGCTGCAGGGGAAGCTCAAGGTGCTTCTGCTTAGCTGCCTGCAGGGGGCGCTCAGTGCAGAGCGCAGGTGGGGAGGACTCTGGGCCAGAAGCCGCCGCCGAGATCACGTTCCTGATTAAGAATTCAAGGTACGAGACCGGCATGAAAGAGCATCGCCGCAGCGGCTTCCGCCTTCCTCACTGTGTGTCCCAATGCCGTGCCAGAGGGCAGGGCGCGGTGGACGCCGAAGAGGAGATGCCAGCGTGCTAGCAGATGACAGGAGCCCAGCTTCCGGAGCCACAAACCATCCCGCCAGGAAAACACACACGGAGAGGCCAAGGCCAGCAAAGGAGCATCTTACGAAAAATGAACCCCAGCTCAGAGCACAAACGAGGGGAGCCAAGCTGGAGAGGCCGCTCTGCCTTCAGTCGGGGCCTAGAGCCAGATAACCATCTGCCGTCTCTGAAGGCTGACACCCCAACCCGCGGAGTCTAACCCCCCCCACACCCCCACCCCCATCGTGAGGGAGGCCTGGGCCAAGGACATCTGAGGTTGAACCAACATGGAAAACCTTCCCAGGGCAGGGCAGCTCCCAAAATGCAGCCTCTGGCCACCCCCCCCACCCCACCCCTGCCGGCCAAGCTGGCTGGAGTGTTCCAGAGAGACAGGTCCCCCCAGGCAGGCAGGCTTACTTATAAGGCTCCAGCTCCACCCGGAGAAACGGAGCCCCCAAACGTCCTTGGCCCCACAGCACCCGTCTCAGCTGACCTCGCTGGGAGCAGAGCCAGGGGCCGGCGAGAGGCCAAGGAGTTTTCACTCCAAACTGCGGTCATGACTGTTAGAGTTCTTGCCATATTGGTTTACCAACTGTACTATTATTTACTTTGTGTTTTCTTTGATTGGTTTACTGTTTGCTTAATAAATTTATTGTAGAAGGAATATTTCTTGTATCACCTCTGTAAATGGAAAACCAGTATCACTTGCCATAAATAGAAGGTCAAATAAATACATTGTAAACAAAGACATTAAGTTCTAAGCAGACATTGTTCCCTGCTGGAGGCAGGGACCTTAAGAGCTGATCTTTCTTTGTTGTTGTTGTTTTTTTTAAAGAAGGAGGGATGATGTCGGCAAGTGTTAGGCGGTCCAGCTGCCACCCTGAGAGCCCCCTCAGAAGCACTCAGACAGACGGATCCTGCACCGGAAGCAGGGACAGCGAGCCTGTGCTGCTTACTGCCGGCAGGGGCCTCGGAGTTCATCCACCCCAGGGAACTGCTGCTCCGAGGGCCGGGGGGCTCTGGGCCTGGGCCTGCCATGGAGGGGGGCGCTTTTTTTATACTGCGGTTGGGTGAGGGGCGGGGGCATGAGCTGAGGTATTCAGTTGAGGAAGCTTCAGCTGCAGGGGGGTCAGCAAGGTATTCAGGAATGAGTCAGCATCTGTGTGGGGGTATGTGGATTCAGGGAGAAGAAGCCGGTATCTGTGTCTGGCACGTTGATCTGTGAGAAACTCCAGGGGGAGTCCATTGTCTCATCACATGTCTGCATGTATCCGATCCTGGGCTCTCTCCGACCTAACATCCCGGCCTTTTGGTGATAAGGGACGGCGACTCTTTCTGACTGCTTCCAGCTGAACAGGGACGACGAGGGGGGGTGGTGGTTAAAGGCCAGGGTTAGGCAGAGGCAGGTCGGAGGGGAGCCGAGTGTAGGGATGGAGCAGGAGCTGATTCACAGTCACCCGTGACATCTCCGTGATCCGGGAGCAGATGAACTTGAGGAGGCAGGGGGCTAGGAGAAAAAAGACACAGATGAGAATCAGGGGCCCTACCATGGGTAGGACCCAGGTAGCTAAGGGGCTTTGGAACCAGCTGAAAGGAGAGTTGTCCTGGAAGTGTCCTGCATGTAGTTCTTCACTCAGCTTAGTCAGGGTCTGTAGTCCAGCTGCCACACTGAGACCCCCCTCAAAAGTACTCAGACAGACGGATCCTGCACCAAAAGCAGGGACAGCAAGCTGGTGCTGCTTACTGCCGGGAGGGGCGCTCGAAGTCTTCCCCCCCCGGGGAAATGCTGGCCGAGGGGCAGGGGGTTTGGGGCCTTGTCGTCATCGTTAGTTCTTTGGACCCCCAATTTTAAGGGACCATAACAAATGAAGACCCCAAGGGCATAGTGTTTTGACCTGTGATCTGAGACGCGAGGCGTGCAAAACTGTGGAATAATAATGAAGAAGCGGTGAGATAACGAGTGAGAAATGAACATATAGTTTCTACTCAGTGCACAAAATAAATACAT